GGGGGGGGGGGGGGGGAAAGAAAGAATATTAAACCGAATAATAATATAGAGGATGGCGAATTGTAATGTTCTGTTGGTGAAAGCGGACGCGACGCATTTGTTTAAACGCACATCGACGAATTGACGTTGATAATTAATTAACCAGCGATTCTTATCATTGTAGCTATTTATCATTACAATGATGCGGTCGCGTAGTGAAATCACGTTAGAAATCAGATGGTGATAACGTGTGTCACTGTCGATTGTAGTCCGGACGCATGCGGAGGTACCTGACTAGACGATCTCGATATGAGCCTCCTCTAAGAGTATATATATAGTTATATTAGAAAATTGTATATATATATACACACATAGATATATATATATATATTTACACATTTATACACACACATACACACACGAATAGATGCATATCTGTACAATCGTAAGTTTCCATATCTTTCAGCCGAAGAAATGTCGCGTCTTTTAGACGCGAGAAATGCGGATGGAGCTTCGTGTGCTGGTACGTAAATCGCGTCGCGAGGCCACATCGAGTGTGGTATGCGGATTTTCTTCGTCTATTGTTAGAGAGAGAGAGAGAGAGAGAGAGAGAGAAAAAGAGCGAGAGAGAAAGAGAGAGAGAAAGACGTAGAAAGAATCTCCCACGCCAATGTCCGTTTTGGCGGTTCGAGAAAACGGCTGCGACGAATAGTAACCTGATATTTAATTATGTTATTGACGATATTAATATTAATATATTCGATATTGTTTTGAAAGATGCCCCGTACTGTTTTCGGATCCCATCCGTATATGTATTCCCGTATCATTCCCGTGCGAGAGACGCGTCTCTTTGTGCAAGAAAGAGGAGAATCAGTGATGGGGGAATGTGTGTGTGTTCTCCTGAGGACGAATAATCGAGACGCGCGCGATCCTCCTGGGTTCACATGATTTGTTCGCTTTATTTCTGAAATGTACATAAGGCAGCCTTGTGATCATACAACGATATCATTGTTTCATTCACGCGGAGTACCTATGAGAGAGAACGTAATGTGACTTAACACACTCTTTCCTTCCCGTGGTTAAGCTCGTCGGAACCTCGCTCCGACGCTATCGTAAGAAGTAATCTGCGAAAGCATTCGTCAAATCTACATTCTACGCCATAAATAATTTCACGTTCGTCTATAGGTACTACATATCATGCATACACACACGCATACACGTGCAGGGTGTCCCAGGTACGCACGTGTCCTGCAGGAAAAAGAAAGAAGATCCCGGCAAATTTTTCCACAGCGAAAATTCAGCCCGGACACCCTGTACTTATCGTGCGCCTCGCGAGAAGGCAATTGTTATCGCTACTAAACTTACATGGTACGGACGGATACTTTGTTCTGTATAAAGGCAGGTATATAAAAATGTTCTCGACAACGACGAGTCGGGTGAGATCACCTTACTTAAAGGAGGCAGCGAATTAAGTCTATCGATTAGTGAAGTTACCTCTCCGCGAAATCTAGAACACTCGCACACTACTGCGCGTCGAGCAGTATTAATCGATCTCACCGTGACACAGTGTGCTCAGTGGATGTATCTCTATCGGACTTGCAAGCTCGAATTCGCGAACAACGCGAGTGTCGAGTGAACGAGAGGAGCGTACGCCCTGGCAATTCAGCGGGCCGCTCTCGTATTATTACCTAAAGAAGAAGAAACGATCGATTGAACAATCTATCAATACTCGCGAGAGAGTTACGCACGTCTCGCTTGGCCGAAGTAGACTCAAATTGGACACACTTGGCAGTGTACATTGTTGCATAACACGGCATTAAGTTCGCCACTTTTGGTAACTCCCAGCTCTCCTCTTACGTTGTCAACGTGAAGCATCGGATTGACACAAGAGAGAAAGAAAACTCGTTTCTTTCTTCCGCGAAAAAAAAAACCAACGGACTCTTCGATCAATCCGATACAAGTGCGACTTGTTTATCATTAAATAGCGCTAATGATTCGACGAAGAACAATGTGGACATACAGTGTGCTGATTAAGAATACATGAGGTCTCTCTAGTCTCACAGCTTCGCGATAGTAGAATTAGTCAAACGTAATCCTTACAAATCTCTTACATCGAGTATAAAATCATAATTGAAAACTTCCTCCCTCGTAATACATTAGTATCCAAAAAGAACGCCGTTAACGATTGAATGTCCTTGGAGGATACTCACAAGCTTATCTGAAATAATTGTATCACTCATCTCGTATCAACGGTGTCGTCATTAATAGTCTATTAAATATGCTAACGATCGTAATTGGAATTAAGTAGCACGTCGTCACAATAAATAACGAACTGCCTAACGAAATTCGAATTGCACTCGCAAACTAATGCAAGTTCGTGCAGCGTGAAATCTCAACGAGACGTCTTATTGTCTGAAAGATGAATGTCTATAAGATATTCGAAGACATCTTAGGCGCGTATCAATGGTCGTTGCTTGAAATTTGTCCCTGGTAAGATAGATTTGTGTTCAGAGTTAAATATTCAGACGTGAGTTTCTCAGACTCGTCATAGCGTCTGTAGATTTGCTCGTATTGCATATACTTTTCACACTTCATTTTTATTGAGTTCTCTAGCAATGTAATAAGTGTATTAATTTATTTACTTGTGTAAAACAATTTGAATGCCAAAGGGCAGAAGTTGTCAAAATAGTGTGTGAAATGAATAATAATGAAACAGAGGATTGTGTTAAGTATTTTAGTCACAGGATGAAATTCAAACAAGTATTATATGTAAAAATTCTAACTTAAGGGCCAGCATACATACATTGTCATAAATATAATATATCATATAATGCAATTGAAAAGCTCACGTTAAACTCTAAGTTCAAATCATTTTACTTGGGACAAACCAGACAGACAAAAATGTTTGAAAGACATAGACGTCTTAGTGACGTGTAAAACATATCTTGTTTCAGAGATGTATTTTAGATATTCGTGTTGCCTGAGAAATATCAAGTGACGACTTTCTGTAGTTTTCTGTGGAACGTCTCTTATTGTGCAATCTTTCTAAGTTGGCAGTGCTTGTCTGTACGAGGACGCAAGTAGATTTGGCACACGTGGGTGCCGAGTCAATGGACAACTCTGGTCCAACGAATGTGTACCGTACGTCATCGTCGACGTGCAGTGACTTTACATTGCCGTTTCCAACGGTTGACTCTTGCTGCGCGCTCCCGCCGACAACTGCGTGAGTTCTGTGGGCTCATTGATCAGAAATGCATCCAAATTGGTCTCGAGGAGGGCTTCGCTCTTGGAGCGCAATGGGCGCTCTTCGCTCGTGTCGAAGTTGGTCTCCAAGAGCGCCTCGCTCCTGGGCCTGCTGTTGTCCTCATAGTGATACGGATGCGGCGGTATCGGCGGCTGGAAGTCCGACGGGTATTCCGGCACCGGCTCCGACGCCTGACTGGGCGTTAACGTGGCCGTGTCGTAGGTGCGTCTCGGGTCGTAGTCTACGGGATCGTACGCAGCTGATGCCTCGATGTCCTGCTTCAGCTCGCTCATAGAGTCGGTGAGCGCGAGACTGGAGTGCAATGGCAGCGTGGAAGTGTTGTTGAGGTATGACGAGCTCTCGTTGTTAGCCGTGGGACTGTCCTGCGAGGTCGACTGTACGTTCGGCTGCGAGCTCCAATCGGTGTTGTCCGCGGCGGCGGCGGCGGCGGCGGCCGCGTTCCTCGTGGCGAAAGTGGAGTGATTACGGAAGCCCTCATTGCGATAAGCCAAATCGAACACTGGATTATCGACGCTCTGTGTAGCGGCGTATTTATGATGGCCGGCGCCCTTGAAGTCGCTAGTGCTGGGCGAGTAGCGCGGGTTGTGCGCCTCGTACACGTCATAGCTCTGAGTGTCCTCGATGGAGGAGTTTAGCTGCGACTTGTCCATTGAGTCCAGACTGCCGCCGTTCAGCATGCGTCTATAGTCCATGGACTTAGAGTTCAGCGTGTCCGTGGAGTGTTTAGTCTGAAACACAAACGGTGAGGTTAGAGATTCTCGAGAAGATTGTCGAGTGGGTCGAGTATTTCAACGCGGCAACAGTTAATCTCGCTTTGTGAGACCCATTTTAATAGTCATTACTTGAAACTTGTCTCAAGTGAGATATTCACGTACACATATATCACATATCATGTCATATATATAATTATTAATTGAATTGAAGATTTATCTTTAAATTCAGATTTGAAGATAAATCATGCGAGACAAGTTTCCAAGCACAATTAATACGAATCTTAGAATTTGATGTGTTTTTAATTAAATTTCGATAAAAAATATAACTTAGATTCAACTTTAAATAAAAATCTTATATGCGACAAATTTCACATGACAACTATTAATACTTTACAACTAGATGTGTTTTTTATTTAAGCCGCAATAAAAATTGTAAACATTTGATATGATTTAACTAAAAAAATCAATTAACTGTAAATTCAGATCAAATTATTCCGCAAGTTTCAAGTAACGATTAATTAATAGAGTCTATTGAGTTGAGAAAATCGCAAGTTGCGAAAAAAGAAATTCGAATTTTCTCAAGCGCTTGAAGAGAAAAGCAAAGAATTAATAAAAGTACCGTTGCGTCAAATTTAAAAAGCGTATTTACCGCGATGGGTTTTCGTCTGTAAGAAAGTTCCGTGAAGCCGGTTGTGGAACCGACCGATCGCAGGGAGTGCAAAGATTGCCGGATAGAGTTGCGTCGCTCCAGTCTCTCCAGCTTGCGCTTCTTCGACTTGGACACCCACAGCGCGATGGCCATGGTCAAAAGTGCGAGCGAGAAACCAACAGCTCCCAGAACACCCACCGCAACGATGTCTTTCCTCCATGACAACGGATCGATGTTGACTCTAGGATCGATTTCGCAAATGAACGGATTGGGCTGCGCGCAATGGTCGACCTCGATATTCTGGTACGTGTATGCTGTGCACTGATCCAAACGATCCAGTTGCTGCACCCACACACGCTCCGAGTAGTCGAACCGTTCTTGCTGCTTGCGGGCGAACCTCCAGAGTTCCAGGTAATCCCTCATGATGAACGGCATCGACGCGTTCGCTGATCTGCAAAAGTCTCGCGCGCTGTAGAAGTCCATCGGCGCTCCAATCAGTATGTAGCATGTGTCGCCGACGAGCTCCCAGGCGGGCGGACACTTGCCGCTCAGCACCGACTTGTTGTTCATGTGGAAAGGTTGGTAGTCGACCTGCAGCAGCTCGGGTGAGTCCCCGCGGTCCCTGATGCGTCCCGCCACCGCCAGGGTCTCGTTATATCCCCACCAGTTGTGCCGCGCGTCCACGTGAGACCTCCACATCTCCAGCTGCTGAGATCTGTTCGTCGTGAGCATCTCATAATCGTTGTCGGGATTAAAGAACACGTTGTCAACGTATTGTTGCCCAGGTGTGCCGGCGACTACGGTGCTACGGCCTTCGCGATCAACCGCGTAGTTTTTATAAAAGCCGTTGTGAGACGTGCTCTGGTAAATAGGTAGACGAACTCTCTCGAAGCCAGAGATTTCCAGTAAGTGCATGCCGAGGTTTCCGTGTAGGTAATTGAGCGTCATGTTGCTGACCACTTGCTTCAGCACGATGTTATTCTCGTAGGGAGCGTTGTTCTTGGTGAAATAATTCCTGAATATAGTCACCTCTTGGTAAGGACTGCTCTGACGACCCTCGATGTACCTGCGAGTTCGAGCGAATACGTGCAAAATGATATTATGATTGTGCGATCTTGATATCATAATATGACAATAATATGATAATAATACTTACAATACAGGCTTGTTGAAGTTCTCCGTGAAAAGATTATTATGAATCCATCCCTTGAGGGACGTGGCCGAGCCTCTGGAATCGGCGCGAATAGATAGGCCGCCTTGATTCCGTTGTACCAAATTATTTCTAAAATAAAGCAACTGCGTGTTCTGGACGTCAAACCACAGCGCGGATTTGCACGTGGAGAAGTTGCCGTACAGCTTGTTGCAATTGTTCACGAACTGATTACGCTCGAGCGTCATTATGGCATTCACTTCGCCGGCGTTCGCGTACTTCACAGCGCCTTCGCGACAATTCGATATCACAGAGTAAGAGACGTTGTGCTGTACATCGCGATTAAAACCAATAGCGGATATCGGAAGAGTCACAATCTCCGCGATGAACCCATGCGTGTTGCTGGCGCCGTTAGCGAAGAATCTCACGCTGAGGCTTGGCTCTCGAGTTCTGAACTGTTTCTTCTCATCGGGAGTGTTGATTTCCAAGTGGCCTATCTTCTTGGAAGTGATATTGTAGATGTCACCGTCGTACAGAGTTATGCCGTCGGCGCGACCCGGCTTCCCGGTGGAGTTGTAAAGATTAAATTGCAAGAATCTGCGAAAAAATATGTACATCAATATTTATATTATATTACATATTAATATGTATTATTATTAATATGTACTATTATTAATTTATATATATATTTATATATATATATATATATATTTATATATATATATATATATATATATATATATGTATATATTTTTATTTATATTATATTACACATATATATTGATATTTACCGAGTGACTTTTTAACGGACAAGACATCTGTTTTTCAGAAAGAATTAAAACAGTATAAATTTCTAAAAGACGAATATCTTAGAGACATTTTAAAGATGTCTTTTAGAAATATCTTAGAACAAAAAAATATTTTAAAGATATCTTAAAAACATCTTCGTTTTAGACGTCTTATTCTTTCAGATACTTGTGTTTTAGGTACTTGTTCTATCTAGAAAGATTACAGAAGAAAGGAGATCGCTCACCTAAACCCGAATGGCTTAGACCTGTCGAAGCTGCGGAAGATCTTCACACAGTTCACCGGATAATTGTCGTACTTGTAATAAACGAGCACGCGCTCCTCGATCGTGATCTCCTTCGCGGTGTCGCATATATCGACCATGCTGAACAAGTGATATGGAAAATTGAGGTCCCTCAGCGGCACGAACGAGCTCTCATCCGCCTCACGGCCCTCTCCCGTCAAAGAGAGTATGTTCACGCCGTTGCCAAGAACATTATTGATCGTATTGAATAACAATTCCACCGTGTGTGTGGGTGATATGACATTAATGCCATGATAAGCGCTGCGATCGATATTAACGTGCACCATCGCCGGAGATTTCACGATCGATTGTACGGCGGACGATTTCTCCAGGTGCAGGATTCCGGCACCAGTGATGTTGATGTACTTGAGCGTCGATTCGACGCGTCTCATGGTCTCGTGGGTCACGACGTCGTGGATACGGTGCTCGTACAGATGATGCTCGAATTCGCTGTTCGCGATTCGTATTCCGCCCCAGTAGTCGTGTTCGTCGTCCAGATTGCGCTCGCCGCAATGCAAGAAGACGAAATGTCCGTCCCACGGACACTCGTGACGATGACCGAACAGCTGACCGTTCAATCGGATCTGACAATCCTCGAGATCTTGTTCTTTCCCGGAACACTGCAATGGTTCCGGCCAAGACCAGACCCGCGTCAACGATCCAGGATGGAGCTCATACCTGCGATCGTACGACACGTAGACGTTAAGGGTGTCGTGGCCGAGATGCCGGCACACAACTTCAGCGTTACGCTCAGTGAATCGGTCATCGCATATGGGGATCCACTGCAGAGTCGTTTTGTTGAAGTACTCCAAGAAGCCTGAAATAATCAAAGAGAGAACATTATATGTCATGATGTAAAAAATGAAAAAGTAATATTGTTAATTTTGTTAGCTTGTGAAAATCCAAAATGTCAAACAAAAATGCAAAATGACTAATAACAAAATACAAAATAACAAATGATAAGTAAGTAAAGTGTAAAGTGATATATAAGCAAAATATAAATGACAAATGCAATGTGCAAAATAAATCACGAATGAAATAAGAGAATATCGTGCGACAATTACATAGGATAATAGATAAAATTTATTTACAAACTCGTTAACACGCCTTGCGGCTCACCTTCGTTGTACGACGCGGAGCACTGGCCATACTTGCACAAACGGATCTTTTCTCTCGACATCGAAACGAGATTAGCTAGATTAGCGGAACTTCTAAACGGCGCTGCATTGGCGAACGTGGAGTTGTTCACAGCCGCTCGCTTCATTGGCCGCATTATGATCTCATGACCGGATACGCCGACGGCTTTCAGCGTCCCCAGGACCAGGATACCGACGTTGGGGGCGAATTCCATCACGACGTCGGGATAAATGTGCAGAGTGGCTTCCGGCATGACCGTGATGTCGGAAAGTACGACGTATGGTTCTGGTCTCGCGTGCAACGACACACTCTCGACTATGCGACCACCCAGATTGTTCAGGTCGATTTCTTGATTAATATGCCACGATGCGGAGATAGACGAATCCAACGAGTCACTCGTCAAGTACGGCCGGTAATTGGCCACCGCGTGGTCGTTCCAATCGTCGAAGTCGAAGATTCTCCGTCTACGAAGAAACGTATGTGAATTTTGTTTCAGACAGATCTCGAATCGAATTAAGCAACGATCATATAATTTTCTCTTAAGAACAGAAATGTGAAAAATGGAAAGTTCTATGGAAACTTTAAAGAAATCATTTAACTTTTCAAATATAGAAATATGGAACCTTTCACATAAAACTTTTTACTTCTCATTTTACATGTCATTTTCCTAAGAAAAAGTTGCATGATCGCCAACCAGAAGTCGTGTAACATACACAGTTGCTACTTTAATCAGATTTCAAATCAAAATAACAAACATAAATGTAAAAAGAGTATATATATCAATTAATTAACATTATTTATAGTTCATCAATAAGTAATATGCAACAAATAATTTGCTTTTACTAAAAATTAATTTGCTTTTACTTAAACTTTCTAGAACATAAAATTGATATTTTATTGTTTATTATGTATAGTTTACCTTATACCGGCGTCATCCGCCGTGCCCCACCAATTTTCCATGACGTCCACTTCGTTGTTAATTTTGGCTGTCCTAATACCCGCGAGTAACTCATAATCCAACGAGTTTTCACCGAAAAGATTTCGGTTGATTCGCACTTTCTGTATTCCGTGGAAACCGACGACGTAGCTGGGATCATCGAAGGTGCGACGCGGCCCCATGCCGACGACGTCGTACCTGTTCCGCTTGATCTCGTTGTAGTAAAAGCGCGCGTCCACGACGCCGAGGATCTCCGACTGGCTGTCCGCGTGGAACTCGACCATGTAGGCGCCGCTATTACCGTCGATGCGATTATTGTCGATCCTGATCCGCTTCTCCATACCGCGCACGGATATCAGGCCGGTCTTGCAACGGTTGCTGTCGAAGCGATTGTGGGAGATGTTGAGGTGCGCGAAGTGGCCGTCCACCACGAAGCCGAAGTTCTCGTTGTTCCGCCAGGTGTTGTTGCTGAAGTACAACGAGTGCGTGAAATTTTCGTTATACTGCCACACGTCCGGTAGCAACACTTCGAAACCACCGCCGCGATTTCTCTCGACGGTACTGTCCTGCATTATCCAATGGAAGAGATTATTGGAATGCCTGGCGTCGCGGCTGAACTGATGTATCCCTTTGCCGTTGTCCGTGATCAGGCTGTCGTTAATGTGAATGGAAATCTCAGACATGTTGGACTGATAGATATTCCAGTACGGCGAGTACACGTAAACGGCCTCCTCGCGATTGTGCGAAATCTCACATCCGATCAGCTGAATGGTCTCGTTGGCCTTCCGCAGGAAGTGGTCTCCGATCTCGTTCAGGTACCGATTGTAGTAGAACGCGAGCACGCCTTTCTGGTTGCTCTTAATTCGCGTCTTCATTACCACCAGGGAAGGTATGGGACCGCTGACGATTTTGTTGGGAATATTCTGTGAATGTAATGTCTCTCGTGAATGTAATATCACTATATGTGAGTCTCAACGATTTATCGACAAGTTATCCTTTTTATATCGTTCATTATATGATGTTTGCGTTCAAAGCGTACCTGCACTGGAGATAAAAGCGACGTGACGGCCAAGACAACTCCGCCGATAGCGTTCTCGCCGCTCTCGTACTGCAAGATCACCACAAAGGAGCTGGACGAGACGGGGAACACGCCCAGATCCCGCTTTACGTGCCAATTAATCTGATTCTTGTTGAGAAGCTGCGAGTTGTACAGCGTTATCTGTTCCGTGCTTCGATTTTCTATCGGATTTAGCAGTTGGATACCAATGACGTAGCCTGGAGTGCACTGTAAAACAGGAGAAGTTGTAACGTTAAGAGAAGTTATGACTGGATGTTGTTTTTCATTTAGTAATGCAAGTCGATAGCAAAATTTTTCCTCCATATTCAATAAATAATAAAGTTTTATTAAGTTATCTTAAGATAATACTTTTGTCGACTTGTGTCAATAAGTAAAAGGCACTCACTATGAATTAACTCATATTTGCAACATTAGAAAATTTAGAAAATAAAGAAAAAAATACATATATAATGATAAGAATACCATATATATCATAGAATTTCTTTTTCTTTAGATTGGTATTAAGAAAATGAATCAAAACGCATGATTTTTGTGATTCGATCCATCTTCAGTAAGAAATTGCGATTTGAAAAATCCTTTTGTGCAATGTAGCCAAGTGAAACGATATATTTATTCCTAAATGGCTCAAGAGAATTTGTACAAAAATTATTGATCGTTCGCAATTAAAGTGCGAAACGAAAGAACTCACTTTAATATTGATGATACGACGGATAGACTCGCCAGCCACTTTGGATGTTACGATATACTTGGTTTCGCCGTTGGCGAGTTCGATGTTCCGGTTCGATTCCGGCAAAAAGATAGGATTGTACGGAGAGTCGACAGTGGTGTCTGGCGTACGCAAGAACCAACCCGCGAATTCTCTCTGTTGCACGGCCGAGAGCGCGGGATTATGCCTTATTCCGGCGACTTTGTTGCTCTCGATTTTCGAACCGATAATCCGCATGCCGAGCTGCTTGAAGCTGACGCCGCTGCCGCCGTTTTGCGAAAACTCGCTGTTCATCACGGTGTTTATTGCGTCCGCCGAGTAGATGTCCGAGTATAAGACTCCTAAGCCGTCTTGCAGATTGTTAACGATCTTGACACCGTCCAAAGAGTGTCGAGCGAAATCAATTTGCAGAGCTGTTGTGAAATACATTGTCGTTTTTTATGTACTATTCAATTTTTAACTTTATGTACTATTCAAGTTTTAACTTTACTCTCCGCATATTTTTGCGCGACGCGTTAACAGTTTATACTCTTAAATATTGTCAAATTAAATAAAAAGAATTCACTTGTCAACAGTTATAGTATATAATTTTAAATAAAATAAACTAAATAAAATAAAATAAATAAAAATAAAATAAAATAAAATAAAATAAAATAATTTTAAATAAAATATACCACAATTTTATGCCAAAATTCTCAAAGTGGCGGTAAACGTGTTAACGATTACGTGCAGAAATTACAAAATCACCTGGCTTGAACGAGTTCGTTCTGTAATCCAGCAAGCCCGCCTTTTCGATCGTCAGATATTGCAGGTCGCTTCTCTGAGCCAACGGCCCCAACCTGAGACCTGCCCATGCCGGCTGCAAACACCTGACACCGACGTCGTTTGTGTGAGTGCATGAGTTTTCAAAGTCCTGCTGCTGCTCTGCCCGACACTTCGTGATGTCGTTGTCATACTCGGTGCATTGCACATTGCTGAGAAGTATATCTTCGTTTATCCCCGCATTTGGGATTTGCGAGCGTTCCATAAACCAGTTGTCGGAATCGAGGATGTAGCCTAACTGATGGCAAACCAGCGCCGCGTCCACAATCGTCCATCCATAGTTGCACACGGTTCCCCATTTATTTCCAATTTTTATCTTTTTCACAGGAGAAGAAAAAAAGAGAGTTAGACTACAAATTTCTTTTTCTTCTCATCTCAACACTCGAATATTATTAGCTAGCAAACACAGCGATGTAATATATATAACTCATAAGTACATAAAAAAAAAGAATTATACTATATAAATTTGGTCACTGTATGACCGTTATACGTAATTATACATGTCTATACCGGAAAAAATGCTGTTGTAAAAATGTAATTGAAGTAAATGTTTATGTTTGTGGCAATGGTGTCAAAATTTAGTTCAATAAAACTATTTTGTTTTCTCTCTCTTTGTTTACATAATAGAATTATATAATAGATAATTTTTGTTATATAGTAGAATTTTTTTTTGTATAATAGAATCTTGTTCTCTGAATCTCTTTGTTTATATAATAGAATTTTTTTCCGTATATACATATATAATTAAATATAATTTATATATAATCATATATATATATATATATATAATTTTTTATAATTATAAATAATTTTTTTAACTGGAATATAGATTAACAGAGACTATCGATTAAATGTGTTTGCTAGGTATAAATCGCATCAATATGATTTGGATCTACCTGTAATCTTCCTTCGAGATTCGTCTGGCCACCAAGAAGCCGCACTGGAACAGTCTCCACTTCGTCGATTTGACTCATCATATACTCCTCTTCCTCGGTTTTATTAGCCGGTCCCATAACAAGCTCTTCCTTGAGAGTGAACAAGATATTGCTGGGCCCCTTACCGCGCGCGTCCAACTTGCCGGCGACCATCATACCCACAGCCGGTGGGAAGCGTAATGTGACGCCCGGCTGCAAGATCAATTTACCCCCTGGTCTCACGTTGATGTCTCGTTCGACGATGTACTCGCCGGCTCTCAGCTCCTCTTGGCCGTCGACCTCGCCGCCGACGAGATTTGTGCCGGGTGTGACGAACTGCGGGACGAACGTTGGATTCGAGATGATGGTATTCGCGGCGGGATTGCTGCTGTGCAGCAAGTAAGGCAGATACTCGATCTTGGCGAGATTGTATCTGTCCTTCCTGCAAATGTGACGAACATTACAGTGGTATTTCGTGATGGCGATTTAGTGACAGTAACATAAATAAAATAAAATAATAGTAGTATAATTAATTATGTGAAAATAAAGACTTTCCTACAATCTACAAACTCGTTAAATTAAAAACTTATAAGAGCCACACGTAAAGAAGTGATGGCGCTAACAAATGTCTGCGGACGAAAACTGGTTTATCATATCGCAAAGAAGTATTTCGTTGCAGAAAATTAATCAAACGTTTTGATCCTAGCCTTAGAGTCTTTTTAATATAGTAGGAAATATAGAAAGATGTAAAAAGCTTCATAAATGCGATGATTGAGTATAAGTCTTTAATGTAACGAGTTTGATTGTATTAGATTGATACAAAAAATTTGCAATTTTTCTATTAAATTACCGTAAAAAAAATTAAGAGGAAAATAAGAAGTTTTCGTTAAATACGTAAAAAAATACGGAATCGATGTTAACTATTATGTTGTTGTTATTCGTAAAAATTAATATTTTAATTAATTAATTAATTAATCCTTCGAAATTGAATAATTCTGTTTTCTATTTTATTTGACAAATCTAATAGCATCAATCTAATAAATGTAAGAGCGACTTTGATTGATAATAGCAACAAAGTAAAAACGCACCTATAAAACAGTCGATCGAATATCTTCTTTTCGTCGGTGAATCCCAACCAGTTGTAAGTGCAATTAATAATCTTGCTCTGATCCTCCAGTTGGGAACCGATCTCGTAACGCGACTCATGATTGTGCAGGATATTACGGAAGACTTCGACATTGCTCGAAGACACAACGACGACAGCGGCCACCCTGGAGCGCGGTATCAACTTGACACTCGATGTTAAACCATCGTTGTCGAACAGTTCACGGACGCGATTGTCTCGCAGGAAGTTCCTCGTGAACAGCAGACTCTGCACGTCGCTGTAAGGCGACAGGCCGATGCTAACTACGAAAGTGCCGCGATTATAGTAGAACTCGTTGTGTCGAATCACGACGTCGGCGGGCAGGATATTGAACTCTTCGTAGAGCGGATTCCTGATGAGAATCCCGCCGCCCGCTTGTTCTTTAAAGTGATTGTACTCTATGGTGCCGTGAAGATTGAGCGCCGGATACAATTTGATCGCTAACTTGACATTCCTGATGAACGAGTTGTGTCCGATCTGTAGTCTCAACAGTCCGTTGTCCTTCCTCCAACTGGATTCCACTTGCAGCGCCGTCTCCAGGCTAGTATTGAACCAATTGCCGGTTATATTCACGTACGAGTTGCCGGTTGAATTGCCGATCTGCGAAGAGACAGAAAAAAGACTTTTAAGTCAATTCATGGCAAATATACAAGATGTCTCACACTCTCCTCCGGGCATTTTGTGAGGACGTAGAACAAGTTGAGATGAACATAAAAGTCCTATACCGTTTTGCGATATTCGCAATAATTATCGAGATATTAATTATAGAAAACTTGTAAATGATCATGCAGAATATGATAAATGTTATAATAGCGACGACTGCCGTCGTATATTTATACTTTAGATCAAATTGAACAAAAAAGTCCTTTACCATTTTGCAAATAATCACATAGATTTTTAATTATTAATTAAAGAAAACAAGTGCATTATCACGCAAAATCGTGCAATAATCTTCTTTAATTAATAATTAAAAATCTATGTGATTATTTGGAAAATAGTAGAGGACTTTTTTGTTCAATTTGACCTAAAGTATAAGTATACTTGGTGGCAATCGTCACTATTATAACTCATTTACTATATTCTGGATGATCATTTACAAGTTTTCTATAATTAATATTTCGATAATTATTGCGAATATCGCAAAACGGTATAGGACTTTTATGTTCACCTCAACCTGTTCTACGTCCCCATAAAATACCCGGAGGAGAGTGTGAGACACCCTGTATATTGGGTAATTCTGAATCTACCAAGAGATTTTCCAATAGAAAATTCAAATTTACATAGACAGCAAAAATTTTTAAAAGATCTTTTAAAGACGTTTTACTTTTTAAAACGTCCTTTAAGCATCTTTTAAGCGTCTTTAATATGTTTTTTAGGAATTTTTCTCTGCTACTTAGGTATTTACTATATACATTATAAACTCATTATACACTCATTATAAACTGAACAATTTATATAAATGCAACAATTAATTGTGCAATTTTACAGTTGTAACAACTTGTAGAATCGCACAACTCATGACACACTCATAACGCGTTCAAAGTTTGCGGTACTCACCAACACACCGATGTCTTTATTTCGAAAGATCTGCGAGTATTCAATCACAGTGGTCTGATTGAAATTCACGTACTCGGTAGCGATACTGTCGTTCAGCCACACCGCGAAACCGTAACCACGGTTGGACGATATGCTGCTGCGCGACACGTTGCGACTGCCGCCCGTAACTGTGATGTTAATGCCGTCTCCTTGATTGAACGAGATACGGCTGCCGGTGATGTTGACATCCATAGCGCCACCCAGCACGTGTACGCCAGCCGCGTGCTGGTTATCCGACACTGAGGTCTCATGGATGTGCAAGGCGGATCGTAGTTTCTCCACGATAATACCGCGACCGTTGTTGACCGCTACCGTGCTGCCGGTCACGTTGAGATCGTACATTTTCTCTGCACAGAAAAGAGAACGTCAAGAATTTCTCTCATTACGCTTTTTATGCAATGTAAAATAAGATATTTTACAAAACTTGTTTATTTCCTAATTATTAATTCTAAAGTTTTTAAAAGTGACTCATTAAAATATGTAATATACAAAAATGTATTATTGCATGTGTAATTACTTATAATTATTTATTAATAATACTTTTCTTATAAGACGGTAAAACTTTTCTTATTAAAATATTAATAACTATCATTATTTAGTATGGTAATCTTTGATGTTATTTTCTGAAGCATAGCACATAATAAAAAATAATGTAACTTAACATTTTAAGAACATAATGATATAACCCTGTTATACCCTAAAATGTATAAGATTGGGTTATGTAATGCAAAACATAGATAGTCGATATTTGCACAGGCATCTAATTAAAATTAAAATAACGAGAAAAGGTCATCCAATAACGTTAATATACATACAAAGAAGAAACTTATCATGTTTACCTTGTAAAATGTATCAAATATATCAAATGTTTGCCTTGCAAATGTATCAAACAAATTGCAACGCAGTTGTGGGAAATGCAGCAAACGTATTAAATAATTTGTAGTATCTTTCAGTTAAAAACAATATGAAACTAATAACAATACGCGATAAGAGACATCCAACTATAATATTATTATATCAATACATTTCATTACATAGAAGCATCTCTGTCGAAAAGTTATCGACCATATCCCATTATACCCTATGAACCCGTTACGTCCCAGTGCTGGAATTCTGTAACTTGTTATTGGAGTTAACGACAGTTTCGTTATCGTTGCGCAGCTTTTTTACGGTATACAAAAGCTGCGCAACGATAACGAAACTGTCGTTAACTCCAATAACGAGTTAAAGAATCGCGCTACAGGCTCTCCTATATTGAACTTATAAATGTAACGTGATGAGCTTACCGTAGCCCGACGTCACGCGCACGAAAACAATAGTACTCGTTCGCGGCTCAGCCGTGAACTTTAGAAAGAGATTTTGCCGTGACGAAGTCACGCTCTGCGGTAACGTCCCGTTCCTGACTTTGACGCTGGCCAAGAGCCTCTTCGCGCCGTTAGAATCGTCGTATACCTCTACGATAGCACTGTCGTTTCTGTCGGTTCTCATTTGCAGAAAATGCAGCGTCTGAACCTGGCCGTAACTCGTGAAGAGAATCTAGACAACACAGTTATTGTTTATTAATCAGCTCATCGTACCGTTGAAGTCGCGGAGATTTCGAGGCTCGAGAAAAGCATGATAGAGCGCCCAGTAATGCGGTATATAAACGGCTGCTACTTACTTGCGAGCACTGTTTCACGTTCGGCGCGTATTTGTTTTGCTCCATGGATATGGTGACGGGGAAGGTTTGACTGGCCGTCGAAGGGAATGTACACAGATCGTACACGCCCGTTCGATCCAGCTTGTCGTCTGGCCGCTCATCCGAGTGCACGTACTTGATGCCGTCGGCGCCGTTATCGAGTACCGTACAGTCGCCGATGTAAGTCATGCCGGATGAACTATTCACATAAATTCCGTATCCTGAAATAATCACACACATGTGTAACGTATTTATTTGTACATTATATGTTTATATATGCATCAAAACACGAGAGCATCACGAGTGCAATCAAGAGAGAGATGGAGGGATCATCCAGATGAAAGCTCACCTTTGTTATACTGCACAGTACAATTGTTTATTACCACTGGAGCATCCGGCATAGTAACGTTTATGCCATTGAAGGCGGAATGCAGAACGGAGATGAATTCCATTCTGGGTGGTACGCCTTCCACGTGTATCGCCGACGTTACGTTGTACTCCCTTCCAGTCCCGGCGTATCTATTTGTCAAATAATTTTGTATACATATAGATATATTTCGAATAAAAGAAAGAAAATGTTTATCGACGATATCTTCCGTCGAAACATTCGTTTCTGTCGCTCCAGAATACTCACTCAATTATCGTGTGCCGCAGAATGGACTTGGATTGACGTACGTAGAGCGTGTTCCCTTGGATTAGCGATCTGCTGTGCATGGCGTTCTCGAATCGTATTCCTCGCCAATGCTTGATTGCCCTGGTCGCACCGTCATGGTGTGGTAAGCATGAGATACCCATGTCCGGATGGTAATCTGCAATCGAAGATACGGATCAGATGCTAGAAACCCTCGTCAATCTGCCTCGTGTAAGTAGCACGTACAAACAAAAATCAAAACATTTTAGCCAGAGAAGTTAACGATAACATATATACATTGTGTGTCTTAATATCTAGAACGAAGTTATATACAGAGAGCTTAATAATTTGTCGTGAATAAAAAATGAATTAAAATCTTTTCATTCATTTTCGAGGAGAAATCGATTTCAAAAGTTAATCCTACCCAGAGAGATTCTAGGAAGATATCCAAATGATTTGCAACTTACCGCATACACCTCCACCTAACTGTTTGTCCAACCATCCTTCGCATGTCGCCATCGAAGGCTCGGTGCCGCGGCAGCCTGGTTCTTCGAGGAGAAGACGCGATCTAGCCGGCCATTGCCTGTCGATCCATGACCACCATTGTCCACCTTGGTAGCCGAGCTGCCGACAAGCTGTCTCCAAATCCGCGCGAGTCCAACTGTAACGCAAGAGACAACGATTAATATGAGCTATACGAGATATATCTGCATGTTTTGAATATATAATAAGTATAAATATAATTTTTAAATATAATTTTTAAATATAAGTTAATTAATTAGATAAATAAGTTAAGTATGAATAGTTTTTAAATATAAATAAATCAGCTTTCGTATCGTCTTATTTCGTCTCCTCTCATTTCATCTTCTCTCTTACGTACTTTCGCGAGTTCGTGCAAACGGAACGCCATGTGCCTTGATGAAGGAGCTGCAGTCTTCCCGTTAACGGACTCGGCCCGTCGACTAGTCGTATTGAAGGTGTCGGCTGAATGATCTGCATTTGTGTCTGCACATCTGCTGTGGTCAAGAGAATCGGCGCGTTTGCTTCACCCTTGATAACAGAAACGTCAAGACTTGTTAGGAAGACAAATGTTGTGTCATTCTTACGTGTCAATAGCAGTGGTGTTAAAAAGAGACACTGTCGACGAGAGAAAAAGGAATCACGATATAATCTTCTTAGCTATCCTCAACTTTAACACCTCAACTCGTTGATTTCCACCGATTACTTCGACACTTAATAGTAGTTTGGATAACTAGAGATACGATAAATAAGTGTAAGTCATGATGCGTATATCTATTAGCTCTTGCCATTAACTCGATTGATTATGTAATCAAATTGTATGTTCTATTCTGATTACATTTTATACATAAATTAATAAAACACAGTATCACAATATACAATTACCGATGACCATAATAGCAGTCAGATACTACATGTATAATTGGATAAAAAATATAATATAAATATAAAATATACAGAATGAGTCAGTAAACTATTGTTACTGACTTATTTTGTATACAGGAAATATTTAAAAAATATATATAAATATAAAATATGATTAAATACCACTGTACGTTATAAAAATAAATTAAAGTATTCAATATTTCAGTGGTGTGTACTTTTCATTCAATTTTCATACTTTTCTCTCTTTCTCTCTCTTTCTTTCTCTTATTTTTGGCAACGTGAGTGTCGCGTAAAAGCCGAAAAATTCCGTCTACATCACTGCACTCTGTGCCAAGAGCGAGACCGAAGGTCTCGCCACTCGGCCGAGCCTATAAAGGGATTACCCGAGGTCGCGGGGTTAATCGTGCGGGGGCAAGAACCGCCGGCTGATGCGTGACCTGAAACGCATCGCTTAGACGAGCATTAGAGGCGGTGCTGCTGTGAATCACTCGGCCGTGCGGTGCACACACGCGTTGTTCGCATCCCGTTTTTAATCATCCGATTAGTGACTTTCCACGGATCCCGTGCGAGCGACGCGCTGTTACGAATGCGAACGTGCGGACAAGGAGTATCCGTTTACGGAGATTACAAGTGTGTCCTTAGTCGTTCTACTCTGTTAACGATAACGCTGAGCGATTGCATTTTTATCCTCGAGATAATATCCTCAGGATATCCTCTTTTTCTACAGTGTCACCGGGCTTGATTTTAGTTTTTCAGTTTCATGTTCGAGTAGCTCTAATTATTAGCAAGAATTGACATTTCACGACTTTCGCTCTTTTTTCTGAAAAAAATAAGAAAAAAAATTTGCTCTAAAAATTATATATAATTATGTATAATTATATGTAAGGATTTATTAAATAACTTAATCCTTTAACTGAATTAACACCAAGACCGACACACCATGCACCGAAGGTCAATAACACTGCCGGTAGGACAAGTGAGTGAACGCACATCGCCCCATAAATTACCGTTTACCGCTTCGCATAACTAAGCGTTCCCTTCCCTTTTCTCATCTTTGTAACGTAATTGTTGTATAGTTGTCAATTTATAAAGTTAATTACCGAAGCCAATGTGTAGTCATTCACTTGCAGTTTTACTTTATTTATCTCGATAGCTTTCAGGGAGATTGAATAATTCGATAATAATTCTTAACCGGTCATTAGCTGGTGCGCTTTATCTTACTAGAGATCTAATTCTCATTAAGGATGTAACACTACACACATAAGATTAAGTTCAAGAGCAAGGTTTCACAGCCACTAATCGATACTTATTGCGGCGCGTCCTTTTTTATACAGGAAGACCCTATTCAATTGGATCTATTAAATTAATTTTCCACGTCTCTCCTCAGGGGTTTAATTGATTTACTTAAGAGGATACTTCTTCGACCTTTCCGAGCCCTCATCAATTTCTAAACTCTCGCACGACCAATGACACTGCTTGTGCCCGCAGTTGGGCTCTCGAAAGTGATTATAATAATCCTTTTAGTCGCGATTGCGGAATTACATCTGTGCGAACAAGTGAATGAGCGTGCTTCTCTCTGAAATCGCTGTGTGCGCAGAGCGCACCTGGCAATTAAAATAGCAACTAAATAATACCTAATGACACCTGTTGGTACTATTAACGCGTCGCGCGCGCGCACACACACACACACACACACACACACACACACACACACACACACGTACATACAGAGCACGCGGGATCACGGCACTATCCTATTCTGATGCGTCCACACCATATATAATGCAACAATAAACGCAACGATGCTTGCGTGTTCATAGTGTTTCCGGTTAACCGATGTCCTCCGCCCCGCTTGAAGGAATCTCTTTCCTGTCGTACACCCATTGCTTTGCATTCTTTCGTGATTACATTTACCGGACTAAAGTAAATCGTGCTTTTTACAATCGGCACAGCTTCTGCTTTTATCGTCGTTTATTTATTGTTTATTTTATCGCAAAATAAACAAATAATCAGAGTATTATTGTGAATTTCTTTTCTTCGCGAAACGCAATTTTGGATCACGAAGAAATGTATCGAAAATTTTCGGAAAATAATTTAACTAAATAATGTTGCAGATCGATTTATTTTTTGCGAGGAAAAATCGATATTTTTCCGATTATACTTCCGTCGATTGACAAACGTATGTTGTCAATCAGTCAGAATTCATCAGTCGACGGTGTCTATTCTAAATCCAATATCGTAGTAGGCGTCTCAACTAGAATCTCTTCTCCGATTTTAATTACTGCTCGTAAAAGCCTTGTTACCGGAAACGACTCGGGTGACTCGACTCATTGGCAAAAAGCCGACAAAACATAGACAAGTAGTCCGTAACGTGTGCCCAAGCGCGGCGGAGACATTTGACAGTTATGACAATCATAATCCTACCGGAAGGGTGAATTAAAACAGGAGTGAGGAATATTAGATTACCGCGCGAGGGGATAGAATTTCACAGAGATGAAGTTTCATGTGTTTAAACCAGCGAATATTCTGCACTTTCTTCGCGATTTTCTAATGCTCGTGTAATTTGTTATAGTATATACCTTCACTTAATTATAGTTTTATATACACAATTATATATATAAAATAGAAAAAAAGTACTTGAAAAGCCAAATGTGAAATCAAAGATTCCCGTGAGATTTCAAGACAGGAAATGTTTCGAGATATAATTATGAATCACGCTTCTCTCTCTAAATAGCCCGAGCTATGCGCTGCGTGTACAAAGCCTCGTTGATAACGGTTACTTAGCACGGACTCCAATCGCGTTTATCAGTTAACGCTATCAACAAGATTATCGATTCTCGGCGATGATGACGATATGACGACCGTGCCTCTGCGATGAATTTAGGTAGCGTTGATCACCGATGATAATACACACACAGAGATGAAAATCTCATTTTTTCTTGCAGAGGCGATGTTGACATTTCGTTAGAATCGCGACCAGTCCGTAGCTTTTATTTCCTTTCGGAGAACGCAATTTGTTTCGCGGAGTCCACTTCTTTCTCCTTCGCTGCGTGTAGTAAACACGTGCACAGTCGCACCGCCGCGATGAGTCATGTCCATTCAACGTTACACGTACGCACACATACAGACACGCAACACATACACGCATACTCATCGATAGTTTTAGCGACTATAAGGATGCTGGCTGCAATTATCCACACTCGCATCGGTACGCCCTACGTTTAATGAAGTCGCTAGAGTTTCTGTATCGACACGGTCGATTCCATTTTATCGGATATCCGATCCCAGGTAGAACACAAAATCATTTTGATGTCAAGATGATATCATTTTGACATCATTGTCATGAATTTGTCATGAAAATGGTATCGTTTGACGTCAAAATGATATCACTTTTATATCATTTCACATCACTTTGACTTTTACATGACTTTGTGTTCTACCTGGGATACTGCGACGTGAAAAGGTATGTTAGTGCAAATGTTAGTTGAAATGATTTGACAAGTCAACTCATCGAACAACCCAATATTGTCTCCAATCTTAGGTTGATTCGAAAGTCTTCTCTGGTTGAATCAGCTTTGTCAAGAACAAAATATTTTTCAAATAAAGACATGCTGACGGATAAAATGCGTGTGAGAAAATACCTCAGAGGCTGGTAAAAGGTAATATAATGAAATACATACATAGACGACTCGAGTTTAATTTCGCACGCATTTTTAGTTCCCGACCTTTTAAATTGTGCGATAAAAACAGAGTTTCTCTCAGACAGATCGGAATGGATCCACGAGTGACCCGCTGTGCGAAATGACCCGCTCGTCGTAGCCGGTGCACCTCACATTAGCAAACAAAAGTAACGGTTGAAAAATCTACTGTGCTCGCGCAGCGACGCGCGACGGCACCGTCGTCTTCGGTGAACGCGAGACCATTCACACGATGTTTATCGGAGCACACCTCTCGGAGTAAGCACAACAACGTGCGATTAAGCGACGGCTTATTGGCGAACGTACACTGTTGCGCGCGACGCAAATTGTATCCTTGATATGATGAATTCTTTAATTACGTGTACTTTGCCAGCGCGCAAATGTTATCGCCGAATTCGTCGAATCTTTTTGTACGTCGCAAGTAAAAATCAGTCGAATGATCGTCAGGATCCACAGTTTTGGCGAGAATGTCTTCTTAATGTCGAGTTTCTTTGTTATCTATAACTAATTATTAATATTCTCGATACACCAAACGTGATATCAATTAAATTGATTCAAGTAATTAATAAGTAAACATGGTATCGATTTATTAATGTAATTAACATGTTTAAAGATTAATTTACTCTATTTTGAGGAGAAACAAATCCACGTTGTTTATTGAAGACTTTCGTTCTTTGTTAAAAACTTTCAACAGAGAATACAAGTGTGTGTCAAATACTTATTAGCATCAATCTTTACTAAAAATTTATACTTCGACTAAAATCAACAAATATAAAATATCTATCTACATTAAATATCATTGAATAATTAAAACTGGTTATAAAAGAAAATTAAACACTAATATCGAGTGAATCTTGATGATACAGTAATGGATTAAAAATTACGCTATTTGTGCACAAAGAGAGAGAGAGAGAGAGAGAGAGAGAGAGAGAGAGAGAGAGAGAGAGAGCAATACGTTTTCAGCGTCAGCGATGCGGTTAAGGGTTAAGAGTCCCAACCGGACGATCGCCTTTGTTCTCGCTCCTCGAGCGAAAAGAGCCGTTCGCGACGCTCGTAACGCTTTCTCCAGGAGAGCGCACAGCTCTATTTTGTCGAGGTCTCTACTTTGCCAATGCAATTTTGACGAATTATTACCTTGGCAGTTACGATGCCGCGGACGGTGATGCCGACCATCGGCCCGAAGCGGACTTCCACTCCGGGTTCGAGAACAAGCTCGCCGTCGCTCTCGACGTATAAGTCCTCGCGCAGCAAGTAAGGACTTTTCGACCTCTGCAGTAACCTTTGACCACGGACAATGCGGCCGCCGTGCAACTCGGTCAGAGTCACGCCGTTGCCGTTGTAGTCCGTGGTGCGGCCGCTGGTGTTAATTAACATCGTCGGCTCCGTGTAATAGATCGACGTCTGCTGCTCGGTCTGTTGTCTGTACCTGTTGATCGGCTCGGCTCCGGCCAGGAGCGCGGCCAGCACCGCCAACGAAACGTGTACCCAGCGCATCTCGACGTCAGGCTGTTCGAGTCATCTGTCTGCACACGTGTATTGTCACTGAATCACTGAATTCATCGATGATCAAGCAGAACTCACTGTGATTATAGTAGTAGTGGTAGTGTGGTAGTAGCAGTAGTAGTAGTATCTGACTCACACCAGTATATTACACTAGGAAAACTCAATATACCAAGAGAACGAGGAGCGTTCCACGAATGGAGAAGCACGTTTACAGCCGCGACTCGCGACGGCTGGTGCGCGTCTTTGACACTTGCGAGACGCGCTGCTTCGATCACTGTCTTCTCCGAGATGAATTCGTTGCACTACGTTATATCGAGCGTGCACGCGACACTCGCGCAAATAGAGCGACTCGTCGTGCACTGTCTACGCGACGCTGAAGAGGAAGAAGAGACGGAGAAGAGGAGGAGGAAGAGGCCTTCGCTTTCGAGAATCATCCGTTTATCGGCAGTCGTCGATTCTCGGACGCGTCATCCGTCGACTCGATCCGCGTGCGTCAGCCGGGTCGCGCTAAATATGATACTTTCACTGAGCACAAGCTTAGGTAAGAGCTTCGGGCGACGATTAAGCATGTGATGATTAGCCGCGTCTTCGTGACGTGGCGAACTGTCCGAAGGCTCTGGAAAACAACAATATTTCTTTTAGTTTTTAGATAGTGTCAAACTTTCAAAACGACGCGCGTTCTAATGACGATATGAATCACGACTACTTTATGTTGGCAAACAAAAGACCTGCAAGGTATTCGATTGATTATGTTTGTCTTAAACTGTTATGTCATTGTTCTTTGTAACACATGATGCTTTCTATTAGACCGAAAGAAAAAATATCTAAGAAATAGTAAATATTTATTTGGTGGATACACACTATAATATATTTACTTGAATTTAAATCCTTTTATCTAAATAAAATAAACAATTGTTTTCATAAAAATTTAAATTTCTCTTAAGGTTTTCAGAAAATTTATATTTTCTTATTTGAAAAATATTTTATACGTTAGCATATGTAAATATGTAATATTAGTGCCTACTAAATAAATATTTACTATTTTTTAGATATTTTCTCTCTCATTGTATAGTTTGTAACATTGAACGCGAATGTAAATAAAATTTAAGTTTGGCGAATGTAAATAAACCTTAAGTTTGGTTAAAGTCGGTTTTAAATAAGATGTGTAAGTATTCATTACTCAATTTTATCTCAATTTATTTACGTCACATTAGAAGATCTGAAGAATATGCTTATATTTCCTTTGAACTTAAACCTACGCAAAATTAATTAAGCGAAAGTTTCAGAGTGCAACAATTTCTTGTATCAAACCTTGAATTCAAGACACATAAACTACTATACTTTTCTACTTTCTCATAAAGATCGCCCCAATGTGAATTCTTTCGTTCTTTTGAATTTCCATCGCGTCATGGGACATTCACTACCCCGCTCACCGTGTCCACACAAATACACTCGTCAACATCGCGCCCTTCGCTCACATAACGTAGGAGGGAGAATGCTCACGTCACAATGTCACATTCAAAGGACAAGGAAAATGGAATCCACTACCACTACCACTATCATTCATCACGCACCCCAGGTAACAAAGACTTCTATAAGACTTTTATAAAAATCTTTCTTTTTCTAATACGCCTAAAAAACGTTCTATCTTCTCATTCTTCAAACATCGCCTAGGTGTATTTAAGACACCTTTTTAAAGTTCCTGCTACCTGAGACTTACCAATACTATTCGAGCCGCGCGTCGCAGGTTCGAATTCGAGCGTTAACCTTCCGCCGTCTCATTCGCGGTGGTCGAGGCGCTCTTTCACGCGCGAGGGACCGCGACGCCCGTTACCCGCGCTCGCTCGAATTCCTCGCGGAACAACACTCCAACGGCCGAGCGTTTCTCGCTCCGCTGCGACTCTCCTCGTATTATTCGCCCGCTCGATTTCCCGGCGTCGTCGTCGTCCGTAGCGACTGGATCATTCACATTCGCTGCCGCGCTATGCTCCACGAAGCATCCTCGACCGACGCTGATCGATCAGGAGCGTCGATCGCGTCTCGTTAGATCCTCTCGGTCGGGAGACCCTCGACGCGACGGCATCGTCGACCGTCGGGGTAGCGGGAGCTCGGGCTCACCTCCTCCATCTGGATCGTCGTCGAACTTGGGCGCGGTTTCGCGTACGTTTCGCGTCCGTGAATGCGTGCGTGCTTGCGTGCGTGCGTGCGTGCGCGCGCGCTTGCCGTCGCGAGGACGCGGCCTCTGCTCTTTGCCTTATGTCGCCGTTCCTTACAGAGGCACTACAGCCACTAAACGCGCGATCGCCATGGTGCACACTGGTAGCGCGTAGACGCTACGCTACACCTACTACGACCGGAGCGGGTCACGTGACGTGCCTCAGCCAGCATACGTCACGCAGGTTGTGAAACAGGTGAGTCCCTCCCAACGCGCCTATACACGGTGTCGTGGAAGCGCATTATCTGGCGCGGGTGGAGGGTCCCTCGGTGAACTTGGAATCAGTGTCTCCTCCGTGGAAAAATGTCGAGTCCCACACCTGCGGTTTATCAGTAATTTACGATTGGAGATAAAGGGATCCCGGCTAGACGACTTCTCGGAGCAATACAGAGATAAAAGAGCGAATCTAGATCTGTCCGCTTTACTTCGAGGGAACTTTCATAGAATTTTAGTGAAAGCTTCATCTCAAAGACGCGCATGATGTTAAAATTTGAAGAAGAGACGCGCAATACTTAAAAAAACGCGACGAATAACGAGCTTTCACAATATCCTTCATGTGCCGAGGTCGTTGCCGAATTGATAGAGGAAATTGCGGTTGAAAGGACATCCGATAATACCTGGACATCTTGTATAGGCTCGTAACGTCGCCGTTCGCCGCGGCACTTGCATATATGCAGGAGCTACCGATGAATAAGGAATTTTTCTCAGAAGCGAGCGTGAAACCACTCGTCGTTGTAATCGACACAGGAGATAATTGGTAATCCCGAGAGTGACGAGATCCCGATGTGCATTTCAGAATCCTAAAGAAAGGGGATAACGATAATGAAATACTAAGTCGGAGAGTCCTCTTGAGTTATATTTAGCTATATTTAGCTAATACTATTCAAGAGAGAAAATCCTGCAGAAGTGTTGAGTATATAGAAAATTTTGAAGTTATGTAAATGATGTTTGAGGATCATCGAAAAATCCACAGAAAATTCTCAGATGCCGAATTTGTATTAACTTAATTAGCACTTGTATCAATGGAACGATTAGATTTTTTTTTTACAAATCTGGACCATATCTGTAATTTTGTTAGAGATACTGGTATCTTAATGTAATCTCTTGGTTTATGTGTGTGAAACATTTGAGTTATTCAATCGTTTCATCGTTTACTGCTGAATGAAACTTGGAATATTGCTCGTGCTCTAGCTATTTTTGAAAAAAGAAGAAAGGAAGACAAACACGAATCAGTTGAAACGGCCAAACACGAGAATGTATGATCAATTAAGGAGATTAAGATTTTCGGATGTTTAGATCAATTTTACCAATCCTTTGGTAAGTTAACAGTTAATCATATGTTTGCCTTTATCTAGTTTGAAGAAAAACAGATATATGATTTAACTATTAATTAGCTTACAAAAAAATTGAAAAAATCAGCCCTTTGTCTCTTTAACGAGATATAGCAGACACATTTTTTTAAGCTTGCTTTCGGCAAGATGTGTTTGAATACTGCAAATGATGCTTTTTGTAACGGTTATATCGTTCACTCGGATACTAATAGAAAAGGAAGGTTGATGTTACTTATCGTCAAGTCACACTACGACTTCGATTTGGAGGTAAAGACACTAGCTGTTCGTAGAAATATTCATGGGGATTAATAAGACTCTATAGATTAGTTATTCGATTCCAATGGAAAAGGATTAATAAGACTCTATATAGATTAGTTATTCGATTCCAATGGAAAATACAAGTCCTTATTTTTTCCGTTTGATTGAGTGGACGCCATTCGAGAGAGACTATCCAATGCCTCTCCAACGCCATCTAATAGTGTCACGGGAAATTAGTTTGTTTTGCCGTGCGCATAATGGTTTGAGTCTTGGCTAAATGGGGTTTCAATTTTAGCTAAAGGCATCAATATATAGTACTGGGTGGGCTGGTATTCCGTTATGCAGGATTCACACTGCATCCGATGTCCAACGTACGACGTCCAACATTCAATAAAAGAATAGCTTTCCAATGGAGAATTGAATTCTATATTAGAAAGCTGTTCTCCTATTGGATATCAGATATCATACGTCGGACATCAGACGCGGTGTGAATCCTGCATTACAGTGGTTCCAATAGTTGTCGAATCGGTAGGCGTCGTTGCGCAGTTTTTCCACAATAAAAAAAAGCTGCGCAACGACGCCTACCGATTCTTAAGGGACGTCTACATTGGAAGTAAGTAGGAAATAAGAGTAAGAAATTGACCAACCATAGTCGAATGTGAGAAGAATAATCAACTATGATTGGTCAATTTCTTATTCTTACTTCCTGCTGCTTACTTCTTACTGCTTACTTCCAATGTAGACGTCCCTTTATACTTCTGCTGTAACAGCGAGTGAAGTCGGAAGTTGGCAGTTTAAAACAGAGTGAGAAAGTTGATTTGCTCCTAGTGCTTTCTCATTCTGTTGTATAGAAAAAATATGGTCGCTGTTAAGTGCTATATATAATGCAGTCACAGACTTCTATATACTACTAGACTGCTAACTCTATATATGTAATCATATATGTAATACTAATATATGGCGCGTAGAGCTCTCAGCGGTACCCCAACACTACGGTGTAGACAAACGGTGTTCATCTGTCTTTTTCTATATCTTAAGCGTCTTCTACAATGGCAGTAGGAGTAGTAGTAAGAAATAAGCAGTAAGCAAATTGACCAATTCCATTCTCACGTTTCAAAAATAATCGATTGTGATTGGTCTATTTACTTACTGCTTATTTCTTACTACTACTCCTACTGCCATTGTAGAAGACGCTTAAGGGTGCGGTCCAACACAAGTACTTATATTCACACACATTCATACACACGTATTCATTTTGTAGATTTCCTAATCACTATACTAAGATAAACAATAGCTGCGTTCGGCATTATAAATCGAAGACATCGGATTGCTCTTTCATCTCGAAGATGCATAGAAATGAAAAAGATACGAGATCTTTCTCACTTCTGTGCATTTTTATGATAAAAAAGCAATCCGACGTCTTCGATTTATAATGCCGAACGCAGCTATTGTGCTCCGTGATATGATGGCCGCCGCCATATTTGGTGATCACTTCCGACTTTCATTCCTCTCACCTGTGAGTTCACTCGCCGCGAAATACGCTCCATCCAGGGCCCTTATTCTTGAAATAGTTGCGTATACATAAGTTTTACGGCTCAGGTTTAATCATACTATAAAATAGCTGCGCAATGAAAATTACGTATACGCAAAAATTTCAAGAATAGAGGTCCAGATATTCCTATGTCCACGCGTTCAGCGGAAAAACTGCTCCACTACCGCTCCGTAACGAATGTTCATGATTGGAGTATTCTTTTAAACCTTTGACAGGTTCGGACAGACGTACCAATCAGAAACGTTTGCTACGGAGCAGAAGCGGAGCAGTTTTCTCCGCTGAACCTGGCCAATATAATTGGTAGATTTAAATATCTAACAGTAAGAACCAATAATCGCCGATTGCTCATTGGGCGCTTTTTCCGCTGAACGCGCCCATTAATTAGAGAGAACGTTATTTTCAAATAATACGACTTCGATTTAGATGGACTTTTATTTTTCAATAGCAGAATTGAACAATAGAAATATTAATGTAGAAATATTAATGTAGAATCAAAAATCTGGTAAGAATTAATTGAATTTCGAAACGTTGAGTTAAACGAATCTTCAAATAATAGACGTCAATTCAGCTGTCAAACGTAGTCTACTCTTCTATTTGTATAGTCATGTTTCAAATTACATCCTTGAGTAAATGCTATTGTATTTCAGCTTAAGATATAAATATTAATACATTTAAAATACAAAAACATCTTTTGCGACGGAAAAGTTAAGGTTGACTTTTGTAGGAGAGAATTTCTAACCGGCACAGTGTTGAGGTTATGTTTGGATACTGGAACTGTTTTGAGATATGGGAACTGACGTGTAGACAAAAAACGAACAGATTGCGTTGACAAGTTGTAACAGAGAAGAATATAAGTTTTGAAGTGTTATATCTTGCAGTGAACTTATTTTATATATCAAATATGACTTCATTTGTAGCAGATGTGCTGGCTACAGCAGGTAATACACATTGGAATACTAAAATATATCTTAGCACAAATTAATTTTGATATAGCTATAAAACAATATTTTTTGTACTATACAGGAAAATTGGAGAAATTAAATCTCCAGAAAAATATCGTGGATATACAGAAAGAGATAACAAAATTAGAATATGAAGTCAGAGATTTCATGGATGAGAATTATGATGAATTTAGTGCGAAGTTAACACGAGATGTACACTTGGTTAAGAAAACTGAGCAACTATTGGAGGAAATAAACATCTTGCAGAGCAGAATAAATGATCAGGTATATTATTAGCATTTCTAATTTGTCAGGATACAGCTTAGATACCACAAAAACTTTGTTACACCAACATTAAATTTAAGAAACTTTTTATTATGTTGCTAAAGATGATAGCGATCTTATCATGATCTTTAAATGTTATATATATATATATATATATATATATATATATATATATATATATATATATATATATATATATA